CCAGGTACGTGCTCTCTCCTCCCCTCATTACACCTCGATTCCCCACCTCTGCATGCGCCTCCTACCCAAAGACCACCATCACCAACACCTGCACCTGCACGCGCGACCCGGCAATGGCTGCTGTGCCCCCACTGCCACCGCAGCGCCCTCTTCACCACTTAGCGCCCGCGCGCGCCCCGGCCTGCCTGCATAGGGCAGCTTCGCTCGACAATGCAGCAGCGGCCGCAATGCCAGCACAGGCCAGAATTCCCTCTGCCTGGGGCACACACTTTCCTTTATGGAAAGTGTGTCGCTGCTGACTGGTCTGGCCAGGCGTGTGGGGGGCCCAGTAGCTTGCTTCTGGCCCCAAGTGTCTGCGCCCAGGCCCAGTTTCAGATACTGTTCTGGGCCTTGTGCAGTTAGGCACGTTCAGGCAGCTACCCAGCTTCCAAGTGTTCGCAACATTCTCATTGGCTCCCGGCTTATGTGTGTTGACAATGCTGCTCTCTCATTGGCCTGCGGCCAGTCCGTGATGTGTCGGCCTCGCACAGCATGTGCCCAGGGCGCAACCACCTGAGCCCTGGGCTCAACTGTACACTGCAGCCTTTGCTTCTGGTAAGAGCCTGGAGGCTCACGTTGCTTTTGTAACCAACTGGCGTGCCGCAACTGTCTGAATCTCCCACATATGAAAAAATGTCGAAAACAGCCCTCTCGTGGATATTCAGGTTCGCCTTCACTTAGGGCGGGCACAGGCTTGCTCAGGGCCGCAGCCCAGAACTCTTGTATGTCTGATAACGGCCCCGCGAGGGCTCATTCCTCGCATTCCATCCCCCTTAGCTTCAAAAGTCCGCTGAGATGATTCTACGCAGGTGCTTTCCCCTTCAGTCTTCGTTCATACTCTGCCACGATCTGAGGTGCTGTCTTGACAAGCTCATCTCTTGTGAACCAATGATCTTCTTTCGGATCTGTATAATGCCAGAATCTGACCCTGTACTCCCTCACAGGTTTGGGCGGTCTTCCCCTGCCAGCAGGCTTGGGAACAGGCAAGTCTCTGTGTTCCAAGATGTCGTTGACGTCCACGTGGTCGTCCATGTTTGGGGGCAGCATTGACCTTCTTGTTGGGAACAGACCTGTCTCAGCGAAAGGTGCAAGTTTGAGAGCGTGAAATACAGGGTAAGTGCGCAGATGACCAGGGATTCTGATGACGTATGAGGGACCATCTAGTTCACTACCCACAATGTCTAAGACTTCCCAAGGACCAAAGTACTGTGGCATTAATTTCCTAGAAATGCCAAATTCCTGTCCCAGTTCACTAGCCTTTACCCAAACACGTTCCCCTACCTGAAATGTGGACTGTCGCCTGTGCTTGTTCTCAGAGGCAATCATTGCCTCTTGAGACTTTCTGATATGCTCCACAGCTGCGGCAACAGTTTCTCATACTGGACACCAAATTCAATGGTTCCAGGAGTTGCAGTCGGTCGGTTTTCAGGTTGGAGGAAGTCTAATGCAGATCTAGGCTTCCGCCCCAAATGCAGCTGGTTGGGATTGACGCCGGTGGTGCTGTGCACAGCGTTATTGTACAGGCTGGCGATGAGAGGAAGTTTATCATCCCAGTCATCCTGGCTGGGCTTAATGTAATGCCTCAGCAGATGCTGCACCACACCGTTCATCTGTTACGCTTGGCCATTTGCTTCGGGATGATTCCCCGAAGTCATTTGGAGTTGACTGCCCATCTGTTCAACAGCCTTCTTCCACATTTCACTTGTGAATCTGACATCTCTGTCACTTACAATGGTTTTGGGCAGTCCTAAATCACACACCCAGTTATCCATGAATAACTTAATGACATGCTTTGTTTTCGCTGTCTCCGACATAGGGATTAGTCTAGCGTACTTAGTGAACCTATCTACTGTGACGAGTATGTGCCTTTTGCCACTCTTGTTGTCACGAGGGTATCCACGAAGTCCATGGAGACGCTCTGTCCCGGACCAGCAGGAAAGGGCAATGGCTTCAATAACCCAAGCGGAGCTTGAGTTCGCGGCTTGTCCCGTTTACAGACTTGACAAGTCTGTACATACTTCTTTACATTGTCAAGCATTTTAGGCCACCAAAAACACTGCACTAAATTAGCACTAGTCTTCTTATAGCCGAAGTGATCGGTTGTGTCGTGACACTCTCCTAAGATAAACTACGAAGAATCTCTCTAGAATCGGAACACACAACCTTTTAAAACCTGCCTTTTCAAGAAAGAGTAAACCGTCCACCAACACAATTTGCGCATCATATCCATCATGACGCGGTCTTCCTTGTACGCTTCCACCAAAGATAGAGTTACATCATCGGATAAGCCAAACTCAGTAATCAGCGAACCTAGGTAGTCTACTACGCGGCAGCGCATCAGCAACCTTGTTGTACTCTCCCTTCACGTAATCTAGCTTGAAGTTTGAAGAAATGCCCTTGCAATTGCTCGGGCAACGCACGGTAGAAAAGTTGGACTA